ACGCCCAGAAAAAAACAGCAGAGTCAGAATACATTAAAAAAAGAAATCTTTCATCTTGAAAACCTGATAACTCCATAGCAACCCTATTTATTCTTTTTTACCTTGTTTTTATTCATTTTGCTCCAACAGCTTTTGTTATTTGTTTTAATTCCCTTTGCCAACTCTCACACAGCTTGGCTTCTGGCAATCCTCCCTCACACTTTGTAATTTCTAATTATGTGTTTAATCTGCTTTTTTCACATCTGTTAGGTTCTCTGCTTAAACACCACTGTCTTTCATTGGATATTTATCTAAGATGAGGGCTCCTTCTTCTCTAGAATTCTCTCCAATTTTCCTTCTGTTTTTGATAAGAGCCCAGGCACACTCAGACTTTCTTAGTCAGAGAAATGAAGGTCAAAAATTCAAGTCAAAAAGATCAAAGGTGTGTCTTGTCCATATTTAACACTCTGATGTTTTGGACTAAGCTGACTACAAATAGTTGTTTCTCAATTCCCTCTTTACTGTCTGCTGTTCTATCTTTCTCTTTTTTTAAAAAAATAACTTCTGTGCCTTGGAATAGATCACTAATGACCCCACCTAATCTACCATAAATTCACTGCAATGAACTCTTAAAGCTCAGTCCTGGCAAGCTCCCTGCAATGTCCTGGCTGTTAGATCAATATGCCTTAGCTACCAATGTCAGAATACTGGGGGCATAGCCAGAATAGTAAATTCTTTACAAATTGATGTTCATAAAGACAGGAGTAGATTTGAACGGTTGATTTATGGTTGATTTACGTTAAACTGTCACACAATGAACATCTTTGGATTGCAGGCTCCTGTGAGCTGAAACAGACTTTGATAACATTTCTGATTCTCCATGTCATGTATGGGGCATTACTTCATGTAGGCAGTGGAGCTAGACAGTACAGGCTGCACATCCTGCTTACAGAAAAGAGTGAAGAAGCAGCAACACATCACCCCACTTCTGCCACTCATTACTCAAGCTGGGCAAAGACTGTATTTGTCAGGGAGGGTACAACTGAAACCTGGGAAAATAGGAAAAGGCTGAAGAGTTTTCCTTCCTGGACCTGCACCCTGCTGTGCCTGAGTGCACAGGCCCTTGTAGAATCTATTTTGGCCACTGCTGAATCACAGCTGGTAAGCAGAGCTGGGCCTGTGTTTGCTCTGTATTTGCCAGTTTCTCCACTTTAACTGCTCTGTATGTAGCCCAGAGCTTCAGGGCTGCACACCTTGGGAGTTCCTTCTACCACACAGAAACACCTAAGTTGTTTTGTTTCTCTCTTTTTTTTTTTAATCCAAAGCAATGCTTGTATTTAAGAACTATAAGACCTGCCATAAAGATCCATCCCTCTTTCTCCATACCCTGGCAACCTGCGTAAACCTCCTTGAATGACTGAAAATTAATCGTATATTATGGCTTATCTTAAACACCACAATGGATATCTGAGCCTCTGCAAGATAGCTGCTGCATAAAAATAAAATGAGGGCACCTAAATCCTATCGTAAGGAGCTTAAAAAACAAACAAAGAATGAGCTGAAATTAGTTTCTTCTGGAGATGGAGATCAGGGATATGTAGAGATTAACTGACTTAATTAGAAAGTCAAGGGCTGAGGAAATAATTAAACTGGAATCACCGGAGAACACAGCAAGTTCTTTAGCCTCAAGACCATTCCTCCTTTCTAAACTGCATGCAGTATTTCTCCTCCCTGATTGGGTGACCTCTGCAATTAGTCACCATTGATTTCAAATTATTCTTTTAGGTATAAGCACTGCATTTTACTCACTGCTGGCTGTTGTGCAGCTGCTGGCTAGCTTTGTTTAGCAAGCTGTCAAGCTCGTGGGGAACGAGCATCTGCAGTTGGAGTGCTTATTGTACTGGATGTGCTCCAGGAAGCAAAACTGGACACTACAAATAAACTGTTCCATACTGACTCATTTCAAAGGAAAAATCGTTCTTCAAGACATTGTTGGGGCTGTGGTATTTGTCATCTGGTGACAAGTCCCACTTCGAGAAAGAGAAGGTGAATCTATCAACTTCCAGCAAGGAGCAGTTTATTCACACCTTAAGGTTAAATTTCATTCATATGGTCTGTAGTAGGCGAAGAAACAGAATGAGTAGCAAGCCAAATTCCCAATCCTTTCCTGTGAGAGTTCCCCATCACTCCCATTAATTCTCCTGCCTTTTGTATTCTACAGCATAGGTCAAGTGGTCAAGTGTGCTTGTAGATGCTTATGTGAAGCAGATGCACAGCAGATGCTAACGTGAAGCATGTGTACAGACCCATTACAGTCAAGCAGTCCTGAGGTTTGTCCATAGGAACGTATTTCAGGATCAGAACCTCAGAGCTTGTTATCTGTGGGACAAAACTTTCATGCTTAATGGCTGTAGGGCAGCACATACATAATAAAACACACAAGACTGAATAAAAACCCTGTAAGGCCAAAGCACAGCATGGCCACAAAATCACAGGAGCTTGTCGCACATCCGCTCCTACGGAATGGAATTTTGCTCACATCAAGTACCTGTAGTTGCTTTTGGGTTTGTTTTTTAAGTCTATATTCTTAAACTGTGTCAGTGACTCTGTCTTGAAGGGGAGGTTATTCTGTAATATATCAAGCCTTATATTTCGCCATAATGGCTTCCTTTAACAATCAACTCAAATTTCATTTTAGGAGCACTGTTTTTCTAGCTATCTCTGCTGCACAGCATTTCTCTCACCCTGACTGCCTCCATGTCCAGTATTCTATCAAGGTAACAAAATTAATCTTTGTTTCTGTCACCTGAGGCATCCAGAAGAAAGAGGGCGATAGTATGTATGTTTGGGAAAGGTTTGAGGCTTTTCTTCCTTTAGCTAGTTAGATTTATAGCAAAGAACCAAAGGACAAAGATCAAGTTAGGCAAATTTTCTATTAGCAAGCAATCAGAGAAAGGAGAAAAACATCCCCTGGGTTAAAGTACTGCCTAAAGCATCCTGGGCTTTTACTGGTTCATTAAGTGAGGTGCCTGTATGAATACTGATAGTTTGTGTGCGTTTGTTAGTGATAGATAGGATCCCTATACAATCCCCTGGAAACTCTCATGCCCCATGTTCGCGTTTTGTGTGATTAACTTCTGCAGGGTGTGGGATAGTTGGCTCTAGGATCCTCTGACTGCAGGCTTCACAGTATTTCATCTCCCCTGTTATGTTCTCCAGCAGCTTTGCAACTGATTACAAGAAAAAAAAGATACTGCAAGTGCTGGGGATCTGAATGATAAACTGTGGATCCCTTAGCACTCTGATAGATGAAGGGATCAGGCTGGGGTGTGCCTGTACATTAGAAACACTTGTTTGTGAGCCAAGAGTTGTTGTTATGCCTTGACTGACATTCGTTCTGCTTCAGAGCAGAGGACAGGTCCCGTTTCTACTTTTTACCTTGATCTAGTTCAGTCCCTCGAAATCGGCCCTCCGGGCGGGAATCTACCACCTGGAAACGCCGGGATCCCAGGTTCTCCACCATCTCCTCGAAGGTCTTCAGCAGGGCTCTGTCCAGCGTGGCCTTGAAGACGGCCGGCGCCGGCGGGCTCACATCTGCTGTCACGGGGTGACCCTCCTTCACCCAGTTCCTGAAGCCACCGTTCAGCACAGAGACCTCTTTGTGCCCGAAGACGCGGAACATCCACCAGGCACGGGGCGCGTAGAAGGTGCCCAGCTTGTCCCCGTCGTATACCACCACGTGGGTGTCGTTGCTGATGCCCAGGTGCCCCACATAGTCGGCGAAGTGGGCCTCGCTGGGCAGCATGAAGTCGTAAGGGGAAGACTTGTCCCTGCACTCCTCAATGTCAAAAAACGAGGCTCCGGGGATGTGCCTCTCCCGGAACTCCTGCCGGGCGTTCCGCTCCTGAGGCGGGTACCACGAGGCATCCAGCGCCCGCAAGCTGGGCCCGACCCGCTGGGCCCGGATGGCCTCCGAGAGCCACTTGGCCGTGACCAGGGCCCTGGGCAGCATCTGCGGCGCCATGTCGGAGGCCGGGGCTGCAGCGGGGCGGCCAGGCCGGGGTCCCGGCCTCCTGGCCCCCG